AGAAGAAGAAGAAGAAGAAGAAGAAGAAGAAGAAGAAGAAGAAGAAGAAGAAGAAGAAGAAGAAGAAGAAGAAGAAGAAGAAGAAACTGTGAGGATGCCTGATCTTCATAGTTTGCTCACCTTGCTTTCTTATAGAACCACCTGCCCAGCAGTGACCCAGCCCTCAATGTGCTGGATCCTCCCACAATAATCATTAATCAAGAAAATGCCCTCAGTAGACATGCCTACAAGCCAGTCTAAGGCCAGTCCTCACTTGATGCTACCTTTTCTTTCCAACTGACTCTGGATTGAGTTATGTTGATGTTGGTATAATGTTCTTTTGAAATGTATATACCTCACCCTTGTTCATTCAAATGCTGATTTATCTCCCCCACTCTCCAGTTTCAATCTGAACATTGCATTGTGATACTTATTCTAAGTATCACCTGTCTCAACTTTGTGTAAACATCCAAAATAAAACAACCAGCCACAATGTTGAGCAATAGAGAAGAAGAAGTAGGCAGGAGAGGGGAGGAGCCAGAGAACAGGAAAAGAGTGGGAGGCAAAAGGGTGGGGGCAGAGCTAGGAGAGCAGGGCTGGAGAGAGATCTTGGAACGACATGGAGAATGAACCAGACCTAAGATTTCACAAAAAGCAAGTACAATGGGTAAAATCTAAATGTTAGGAAACTATGAGGGCTTGGAAGTTTAGGATGGAGTAACTATTGCCCAGCATTGTGTTATAGGTTAATTAAATAAACCCAGTCTCTGTGTAGTGATTTGGTTATACAGCTGTTTAGGATTAACAGCAAGCTTTACCAGAAGATATATCATAGTAAATATTAATTGTCACCTACATGTTGACAAAAACCAACCAGCACATGCTGGATGTGACTCTCCTGCCTGGTGGAATCAGAGAGTTTAGGAGAGTCAGAACCAAACACACGGAGATAGCATTTATTGAAACGCAGTACATAAGGTATGGCAGGCGTGCTCCTGGAAAGACCGTACAGATGGAGGAGAGGAGAGCGTGCTGAGAAGAAAGTGGTCTTTTTTTTACTGATGATATCAGTAGTAGAGCCCTTGCCTAGCACTTGGAGCCACGGGTTGGATTCCCATAACTGCAATAAAGAAGTAAATGAATAAACTACATTGACCACATTTAGGACAGTAGCTATGCTTTTCAGCAGAGATCCTGGCACCATCATGTTACATCATTGGAGTCATTCACCTTTTCTGAACTCCCAGAATAACATTTTCTCCTAAAATTTAATAAGAGACCACATTATACAGAATATACAAGTTCCCTGAATCAAAGGTTTGGTGTTGTTTAGCTTGCTGTCAGGGATGGGGGTGGGAGAGGAAGAGGTTGAACTAATTGTAACAAGTAGACCAGACCTGTAGGTGAGCCTACACACTTGTTGGATTACCCAAAGCTTTGCATTAGGTGTGACCAATCTGTTTACCCAAAGTGTCAGACAAAAATCTTGGGGTCAAGAAAAAAATTTTAAAAGCAGATGGATATTTACAAAATGGTCAGAGGACTAGCAAAAGTGTGTGATTTCAGTTAATCTCTGGGAACACCAAATACAAATGATTCCGACTCTTTTGATTCCTTTAAGAGATCGGAATAATGACATCTGGAAGCCTCCCCCCCCAACCAGCCACACACACACACCCTTTCCCCATGCTTATAAAGCAGAGAAAAACATGAATCAGCTGGCTGCAAAACGTACCTCATTATCTCCTCCAGTCTCGAAGGTTTCTATACTGAGACTCTGCATCTGTTAAAGGTCATCCTCAGCGCCCCCCCCCCCCCCCCGCATGTGAAGTAGGCCTGCCAGCCCCCTGCTGACAGCATGCATAATCTAATTGCAGGCTGCCCTCTTTGATGACTGAGCAAATGCTGCCTTTCCCATCTCTGGAGTAATTTGGAACTTCACAAATGCTGTGATCCTGATGTAGCAACTGGGAATGGCTCTCAGATGGTCGCTCGGCAAAGCAACATCATTACAGTACTAACATTTGCTCCAGGATTACTATAATCGTGCATGAAGTGAACAGTGCTGACTCAGAGTGACACAGATTTGTAAATGACGCCGAGGGAGGATTTTCAACACAACTGACTCGCCACCACCCCGTTCAACATTCTGTCACTCAATTGTTCTTCCGTCTGTACTCCACAAACTAGAGAAAGAAAAATGATTCTTCAGTGTCTTGGTTAAAAGCGGGAGTCACATTTGGATAGAAAAACGATGATGATGATTAAAATGATGGTACTCTTGCTACTGCTGCTGTAATGATGCTAATGCTGATGTTAATGATGCTCGTGATGGTGATGATGTTGATGCTGCTGGTGATGACAGTGGACACTAATGGTGCTCCTTAACGATGGTGCTGCTGCTGCTAATGGTGTCTGTTGACTGTGGTGCTGACGGGTCTGCTGCCGGTGGTGATAATGTTGAAAATGATACTGCTGCTGATTGTGGTGGTGGCGAGATGGGAATGATGGGGATGATAATGTTTGGGTGTTCTAGCGCTTCTTTGTCATCCTTGGAACACAATGAATCTTCATGAGAACAGGGAGCATCCAGGATTCCTCTCTAAAACTGTGCTGTTTCTGTAGTGTCCTTTGATGAAGCTGTGATTCCAGTGCTCTGAGGCCTAAGGAGCTTACTCTGTTATTCCGAGACAGGACCATCTCTTTTGTTCTACTTGGAAAGAAGGAACTCAGCTTGCCCTCGGACTTCTCCAAGGTCCGCTGCTTTCTCCTCCCCTGAGTCTCTTCTCCCTCTGTATCTTCTCAGCAAACTAAACTTTAAAGCTTTTGAAACAGAAAATTGCGGAAGATTTATGTAGACCAAGGCACTAGGACAATGGGGTCTGCAAAATTAGTAATTTGGTGACTAACAAGTAAGTAGAGAGCGCTGCAAAGATGGCTCAGCAGTTAGGCGCTCATACTGCTCTACTAGAGGAGCTCCGTTCTCAGCACTCACCTCAGGAGGCTGAGACACCTTAACACCTTTAAGATCCAGGGAATCTGATGCCCTCTCCTGACTGCGATGGGCGCTGCTCCATGTGCACAAACTCTGTCTCTCTATCTCACTCTCTCTCACACACAATAATAAATGTAAATCTTTTTTTTTCGAAAAAAGAAAGAAACCAGGAAACACAAAGTTGTTTCCTAAAATTAAAATTTCACAATCAGCACCTGCCACCAAAGGCAAACCTACCTCACCAGAATCTGAAACAAAAGTCAAGAACACTGACCCTGTATTTATATAACCTGGTGATACACTTTTCATGCTGGGTTTTTGTACATTGTGACTCATTTAAATGCTGCATTAACATGTTCTTGTTCGGTTGGTTGGTTGGTTGCCCATTTTCTTTTTGTGGTAGGAAACCCAGGCCCTCACATATGCTAGACAACTCTTCGACCACTGAGCTGTATCTTCAGCCCTATCTTTAATTGTATCTTGAGACACAATGTCCTTAAGTTTCTCCAACTGAGCTTCAACTTGTTACATGGCCCAGGCAGGCCTTGAACTTGCAATCCCCCTACCTCAGCTACTGCATCACCAATCCTGGATCAACTTTTCTTTATTATAGAATGTGTTCCTTATGACTCTCAGCCTTCGCCCCTGGAGTATCTCAATTTGCTCCATGATAGTCCCTGCCCGAGCTAACAGTTACTACTGTTTAAAACATACCACAATTACCCCTTGATTGAAAGCAAAGAATGTTTAAGCCATTATGTCAAAGTCACTTGAGCCCTGGGTCAAAAGCTAGAGGTGAGCTGGGTCACTTTCCAGCTAAGAGACCTTAGACATCCATTTACTGTCTTTCCTACCAAATGTTCTAGTTTGTAAAACAGAAACTATAATGGCACCTTCAGCACAACCCCTCCTTTGCTAAGAATGAAGTTTTCCAGCAAGATGGACAGCCCCTTTCTGCAGCGTCTGCACAAGGGCATGTTCCAGCTGTCCCTGGGTTTCTTGCATTAAATGCAGGTGTCATGGAGAATCTGGAAAACCTCACTATTCTTTCAAATTTGGGAATAAGAATCAGAAGTGAGTTAAATAGGAGCAGAACAAATTCTGAGATGATGATGACAACTTTGCTGTGATGATGGCTGAGTTGGTGATATTTGGTGCATGTGTATCCTCTCATCCCAGATTCCTGGTGCTAACTGTGAGTCTCAAGAAGAAGCCGGAGAGACTCGCTACCCTTTTAGAATGGGAATAAGAAATATGCATAGAAGCCAAATGAGTTAAACACAAGAATGAATTCTGAGGTGACTGCAAGCATATCAAGTCAGGACTCACAGCCAGGAGAAATGTTTAATGTCCAGACCAGTGAGGAACTTGCTGCTGGCTGGCTGCAGGGGAGAACACTTAAGGTTTTTTGAATCAGGGATGGAGCAAAGGAACAATATGGTGGTGGGTCAAAGTCAGTCTTCTTTTCACTGCCCCTATGCACGTAACGCTTGTGTGGCACATTACACTTATGAAATGCTCACTCAGTCGCTTGGCAAATAATACAATCTTCACACTAACCATGATGACTTACTATTTCTGTGTGTGTGCTCTTGTGGGTACATGGGCATGCGCAGGCCAGAGGTCAACATCAGATTCCTTCTTCTATGCCTTCCACCTTGTTTTTTTTTGATACAGGGTCTCTCGTTCTACTTGGAGTGCAGCCATGAAGCTAGGCTGGCTGCTGGCCAGCATCCCCTGGAGACATTACCTCAAAAAAGAATCAAAACAATGAAGCCTGATCCAGGATGTTCTGCTCTTCCCATCCCCCTCCCCCCCCAAAAAAAAATAATTTGGGACTGGCTATCGCTAGCTCTCTACAGCCAGCAACTACTTCAGGATGATTCCCCTCATCCTCCGCTAACCCTCCTCCAAAAACCATGAAGTCATTACAAAGTTTACAACTCAAGTACATCTTTATTCTTGACTACAGATTTATTTCCACGTGAAGACATATTTGTAGAAGTGACAGCATGGCACAGGGGACACGCTAACTGAGCAGAAAGCTTAAGGGCAAACAGGAGATGGTAGATGGGGCTCTCCCTAGCCACCACAGGGTGATAGGGAAGGCTGAGCAGAGGAGGATCAGCAGGTAAACTGAGTCTCCAGAGGAGATAAGCCAAGGTCAAGGAGAGAACACAGAAGAAGCTATATGGGAGCTTCCTATGGGACAGGATCGTGACTGCGTTTGGAGGCACCAAGTGCCAAAGAGTACCACACCATCAGCAAGAAGGTCCGTGGACTGGGTTCCCAAGAGCAAAGCAAAAACACACTTCTCACAGCAAGAGCACAGACATAGAAGCAGAGAGCAGAGCAGTTGGGGATCAAGGGTTTATTTTCAGTCCAAGACACAGTGCCAGCTCAGACTTCTGGATCTTCCCATCCTTGTTTACATCACAATGGCGAAGCAGAATCTCCCGGAACTTATCAAGGTCCACAACGCTGATGCTGGGCTGAGGACGAGAGAAGCCATGGTCATTCAGAAGGCCAGTGGCAGTCCCAGACTCCGGTGCCCTCTTTGAGGATGGGCCGGGAGGAGCCAGGCACAGTTTCTGCCTTCGCACCCCACCCAAGTTCCTAATGTTCGCTGGCAGTGGCTCCATTTCTCAGCCTGTCCCTTCAGGCAAGGTAAACAAATAAACATTTTAAAAGTCTTATTTCCACATTGCCTCCCACCGTATCTGGAGAAAGCCTGCCTTATTAGCAAGTAGATTTTGCCCAAAAGCAGGGAGCTATGACAGGAGTCTTTGTTGCTTATGCTAATGAGGGAAGATGCTTTACCGTTATCCATAAACGTTTATCGCCTCTGATTCATACACAATGAAAATCCAGTTTCCATGTTCTATATCAAAGCCTTACTGAGGATCTATTCCAAGTATGCTTCCAGACTAAGGAAGGACAGTGATACCCGCACTCCACGGAAGCGTTCCAAACTCCCTGGCTGTGCAGGACACAGTGCCAGAGTGACTCAGACACTTCATGTCATCCTCACAATTGCCCACGAGGGAAATGGTGACAGCCTCTGCCCAGGCTAAGAAAGAGGCTCAAGAGAGCTCAGCCTTCTTCCAGGGGAGGGTGATGGAACCCTGGTTCTACCACCTCACATGGCTCTAGGGAAAACTACAGGGGGTTGGGTGGGGCTGTGTCTGCACCGGAAAGCTGATGTCTAAAGAGAAGAAAATCAGAGGATCTGATTTCCGTTCTTCTTGATTACTTGAGTAGTTTCAAGAGTGAAAAAGGCAGCTTCCCTCCAGAGACTTCCCAGCCCCTGGGAAGCACGCCCCATCCCCCATCCCAGCCCTGACCCAGGCTTTCTTTACTTCCAAAGAAACCTCTAAAAACATCTTCCTTAGGGGGTAAAACCTTCCATTCCCAAATGGGGGGATTAGAGAGGAGCGCTAATGCTAATCAAGACTCCATCAGGGAGATGTGAGCTGCACGTGTTCCTCACTGTGGCCTTAAAGGGAGGAGGAGAGAAAGGAGCAGGAGAAAGTGAAGGAGCACCAGGCTGGGCAAGGGTCAGGAGAAGCCGGGGACCTCTCCCCGCTGTCGGAAGCACCCTGAACCAACAGACTGTAGGAGAGAAATAAAATGCGTTATTACAGGGTTCCTTTTGTTTTGCCCAAACAGTATAGTTTCCTGGGTGTGTGGGTGTGTGGGTGTGTGAAGCTCAAAGAAATGTGGCTTGGAGGCCTACAGTAAGCTGCACAAGAAGAGCCATATAGAACTCTACTGTTGTCCATATGCAAAGTGTGGATGGCTAGTTCTCAGCCCACTTGATAACTCACTACTATAGCTTTTCTCCAATAATTGACACCCAACTCCAGTCCCTTTAGGGCAAATATTATGTTTAGGGAAGACTGGAGCGCTAGACGTTCAGCCCTAAGCATGAATTATTTGCTGGAGTTTTAACCTCATTCAAATTATTCTAACTTTTATTTTCCTAATTGAAGAATAATATAATTTGTTTCAGAATAATTATTTCTTTCAAGTAAATGATAAATATTTGGAGGGTTTGGATGGTGGGAAGCAAGGAGGGAGGGAGGCTGTACGAAAAATTCCACTAGATCATCTGAGTTATGTTTTTAATTCTGGGCATCTCACCATGAGTTAAGAAAGCTGAATATTGCTACTTAACAATCCCTGGATCACTGAAGGTAAAACACAGAAGTCATAGGGCCCCCATGGTTAAGACTGTCTTAATAGCAAGTCCATAACACGAGAGTGCTTAGATTCCTGGTCCAGCGGCTCTACAGATATCAGCTCAAATCTTCAGAACAAACATGAGAGATTGCATCAGTTTCATCCTTCCTCGCAGATGAGTAAACTACAACCCAGAGAGACTAACCTAGCTACTGTCACACAGGTGTCTTAGAGTCAGAGACAGAACGCTGACTCAAACAGGCAGCCCAGTATCATACTATAAGCTTTCATTTTAAAAGTAAATCTTTTCTCAGCTACCTCAGAGGACTTCCCGAGACCAGCCCCGGGACAACTGATTGAAAACTACTGCCCTGCCTGCCTCTCATGAGCCTTGGGAATTGAGGTATTTTGTGATTGGCTCCCTGGCCCTCATGCATGCCCACAGCAGGTTCTTGCTTCTGTCTGAGAATTTACGTTAGGAGTGACCCTGTCCCTCAGTGTCATCTTCGGGCTTTCGTCACATCCCATCCATTTTGCATCCCAAATCCCCTGAAAGAATAAAAGGCAATGTCCAGCCCACCAGCCAGTAGTGTGCCCAAGTCTCTGTATATGTTCTGAACACCACAGGCCTGGACTATTTATGGAACTCGAGGTCAGCCTAGCCAACTTTGTGAGACTCTGTTTCAAAGTTTAAATAAAAACAGGCTTGGCCTTTAGCTCAGGGTCAAAGTGCTTGTTTAGAATGTGGGAGGTCCCGCCTTCAATCCCCAGTATGGCAAGCAAAAGAAAAGCAGAAAAGGAAGCTGAGGTCTGCAGACGCTAGACGATACCCATGATGACCTTGTCAGCCAGTGGAGAACCTGGGCCGGAAACACTAGGTAGTCAGCCGAGAACAGGAATTCTTAGCCTATATTCTCCTTGGCTTCTTAAATTTCACTTTATTTTTGATAAATTTTAATAACTTTTAAGGACGTACTTATTTTTGCGTGTACAGTGTGTGTGTGTATGTGTGAGTGTGTGTGTGCATACGTTGTGCGCGGGATGTATGCGTGTGCACAGTTCCCAATGAGGACAGAAGAGGGTATCGTATCCCCCGGAGCTGGAGTTGCAGATGATTGGATGGTTGTTAGGTGGGTGTGTGGATGCTGAAAACCACATTCTGGTCCTCTGTAAGAGCAAAAAGTGTTCCTGATGGCCGAGACATTTCTCTGGCTCTTCAATATTTTTATATGCAGAGATAATTTAAAATCAGAAAAGGAAGCAAACAGTTTAAAACTATGGTGGGTCAGGTGCTCTTGGAAACCGCCATCCCATCCTCGAGGTTCTCTTGCATGCCTTTGGCACACTGGTATTTTAAACAGGATTATTCTCTATGACATGGTCATCCGCCGAGCTGAAGATTCCTTCTGGAAAACTTCCTCCTGTATGTTTGCAATTTTCCAGCTTGGAAACGGATTCAAGTGATAATAGTCACCTTGTTCTAAAACAGTAACAAAGGCTGTTCCTTCCGGGAGTCATATTGTCTTCAGGGACTGTGGTAGCTGTCTACAGCATTCAGAGCTTCCACCCACCGATCCTTGGGGAGCGGGTCTTACCGGACACCTCTTGTGGGTGCCTGGCCAGGCAGCAGAACCCTTGAGAAACGTGTCCACAGACATCAAGCTCATGAACAGCTGATCTGGAGTGGGATGCTAGTGCACTGTCCGCCATGTTCTGTGTCTCGTCAGCAGAACAATTTCCAAGCAAAGAAAGAAGGAAGAGAAGAACTGATGGCAGGAGGTGTGGGAGAAGGAGAATCAGACACTGAATGTCAGGAGAGCACTTTCCAAGTTCTACACAGGAGAGGGATTCAGAGTAGCTCTCGTTGGGTTTCCATGTGTGATGGTCATCCCTGTGTGGGGACCATGAACGGAATGACAGAGCGAGCTCTCTGCCTAATTTTAAAAGCCCCAGCATGCACTCTGTCAGGACCCTGGTTCTGGGACATAGACAAAATCAGGCAGTATCTCCTTCCATTCAGTCCATCAGAGTAAACTAAAACTCCAGTTGGGCCAATTGATCGGCCATGAAACTTTAATATCCCAGAGATGATTTCTTTGTTTCTATTAATTAAGCTAATGAAGATGTAGTAAACAAAATGGGGTTGCCCTTTAACTATCATTTCAAAGGAGACACCACACAAATATTGGTCACTTATTTTGGTGGAGAAACGCCTGTGGTATCTTCAGCAGGAGCCACAGGGCAAGGGGGAGTGCAGTTGAGGGATTGCTGGGAGGATGCGGATGATAAGTTGGGAGCCACAAAAGATGTGCCAACGATACTGAGTAGACATCAGACGAAACTGTGCCTGTGTCTGCTCAGCCACAGAATGCCAACCAACTTCCTGGAGATCTGTGCAAAAAGTGATAGCTGGACCTTTCCTATTGCAAGGGTTTGTACTTTTAATCATTTTTGCAAATAATTCTGAGACTTAAAGTAACTAACAATGGTTACTATAATTTGTTGCTGTCTGGAACAACCAGGATGCAATCATTGTTCATCTAATAATGTATTTCAAAGTAATCGCTAAGTACAAAGACTACTAAATCCACGGGCTACGCTGCTTCCTGGGAAAAGAGAAGCTGGAATTGTCTGTGTAAGGAGATTATAAACCAGTACAAAGAGTAAAGTTCAAAAGAAGGAGATTGCCTTTTTAGAAACATTGTCAACCCCACAGAAGATGACTACGTGTTCTAGTAAAACCCAAATCGTTTCAGTCCAAGACCCAGCAATGTCCTAACAGTAAGTGTCCATCCTGGGCCAGGTGTTTGAAAAGCCCTCGATGAAAAAAAAAAAAAAAGGCGGGTTTTATGAAATTAAATTTAAAATTGTAGTTATTTAATAACTAAGTCTGAGAGAGGCAAGTAGAGGGGGGAAAAGACCTGGGCAACTAAAAAAAAAAAAAAAAAGAAAAATACACAGTGACACTGGGCTATTTGGGTAAAGTAATTGACTTTTAAATGATGGTTAAAAGACGCTTCTGTGTTGACTACATATTATTTTAACTCATGTGATCTTAGGGAGGGGAAAGGGATTTGCTGAGTCTCACAGAATATCAATGGTTATGAAACAGGAACTGTCCCCACACTTATCTCTCTAGTATTAATCTTCTTTAGCCTCACTCATACCCAGAATGATGCAATGCATCATTCAATACATTTTGTCACAATGCGTTTTGTCACAATGTCAATCGCAATGCATGATGGGAATAACCCAGCCTCATGCACTCACCTGGACCAGCTCCATCATGTCTTTGACAAATCCATCTACTTCTGGGCCTTCCAGGGCTCCGGTTTTACTCTGAAAGATAAAAAGATCCAATCACTCAAATACCATTTTCTTAATTCGAAAAGCTGAAGGATAAATTCGACAAATCGGCCAATCAGTGTTCATTTATAACTGCCAACCAGTTTAAAAATGAAGAGCTCTGCTTTTTATCTTCACAGGATATGAATGCCCTGCGTGAGCTACGAGAATCTTTCAACGGCGTCCAGGCTCTAAACAAGAAGCACATCTCAGAGCCCCTTGGCAAACAGCCTTGACCTGAAACTTGCTGACATCTGCTTCCCACACTCTGTCTTCTGTTCAGGTAAGTGCTCAATGCACCACAATCACCCTTAGAAGGACAGGCTGAACAGTTAAAATGTTTGCTTTATGGCTGAACAATTATTTGATGATTACTGAATGTTTAAACTTTAGACAGAGAATTCTGGGAATTGAACATGGGTCTTCCAGAAGAGCAGCTATCGCTGTTAACCGCCAAGCCCTCACTCTAGCCCCTTCCTACTTCTTCATTTTTAAGACAACGTCTCACTCTGTAATCCACCCTAGTCTTGAACTTGCAGCAAATCCTTTTGCCTCAGCCTCCTGAGTTCTAAGACTAGAGGTGCGAACCAGCCCCTGGATCCCATAGTTCTCTTGGTGTTTTCTTTACCCTCAACCTTTAACACGTTTTGAAATTTTGCTTTCTTCGCTGGATTTGCTAGCAGGGCATGCTGCAGGCTGAACTCTTCTGCAGAAGCTAAAGGTAGGTCAGTTAGCTCTTACAGCTCCAGCACGCCCATTCTTATCTGGAAACACCCTAGCTTTGAAAATAGGAGGGTGAAAGGCAGGGAGAATAAAGAAGCTGAGGTACCTCCCCCAGGTCACACGACTGACATGAAGTGCTGCCTCGCCCAGCCACAGTGCTGTTCAGAATGCAGCCCTGGTGTTCTGGGACATTCACTTCATGGAGAGGGCTCTTCCAGCCTTTCCCACCTTTTTGCTGATTTTCCCTCTTTTTCACATTATCCCAACTTGATCTCTAGAAATTCAACCTTGTGCCAATTGCTGTTCTAGAACCTGAAGAATTACTCTACCAGAGAAGCCATTTTACATCAGGCAGGAAGGACTTTGCCTTGATCCTTTGGTTGTATGGGAAGGATTTTTCTGTTGGTTCATATCTTTTTGTACACACAACAACTGGGTGTCTTATTTTACAAGGAGAACCTTTCTCATAGTTTTATGAGCCAAAAACACATTACGGGTTCCTCTCCGCTCAACTATTAATCAGCTTTGCCCGTTCTTTACTTACTCATCTGAAGTTATGTAGAGAAGTTTGGGACCCTGTGACCTAACAAACAAACATGGGGTGACAATTCATTGTGTCCTTAGATTTTGTCAGCAGGCTTTTGCCACATAGGAACAAACTTTCTACCCAAAGATGGCTTCACAGCCTGAGGAGCACTCACAACATCATAATGGGAGAAGATTTTCTCGAAGTCCCTCTTCCGTTCTTCAGTAGAAGAGGCCTGGGTGTGAAGAAAACAGTCAGTCCAGCAATGCATAGCCACTGGTGTGTAACTCTACCAGATGTTGGGCAACCTGTATAGACTTTGGACCAATAACCCTAAAGGTCCTTGATTCAACCTTGAGTATTGTCAAGTATTGACTAAAAGAGTTAAAAGACAAACGGATGTCTTTTGTTAGAGTTGGAAGGGGAACTGTGTCCCCCAGGCTCATGTGTTTGCACGGGAGACACTGGGAGGTTGTAGAGCTGTTAGGAGATGGGGCCTTTCTGGAGAAACTGAGTCACCAAGTAGCAAGTCCTTGGGTTTTAGAGCACAGCCCTACTTCCTCCTGGAGCTCTGCTTCCTGATCTACTCAGATGTATGCAAGCTCTCATTTCCACAGCTATGAGCTGCTCCTGCCACCAGGAACCTCCCCTGCCACAAAGGCCAGGACAGACTGTATCTCTACAACTATGCGACAGTATAAATCTTTCCTCCCTTTACGTTAGCCAGGTATTTTATCATAGTGAAGACAAAAATAACTAATTTACCTTCATTTCCTTCCATCTTTCCAGGTACATAAAGGAAGAAGGGTAGGAATAACCCATCAAGAGAAAAGTCACCACTTACATCCATTTTAAATTGAAGAAGGAAGTTTTCCTGAAGAGCCAGAATCCTAGATGGGAAAAAGAATAAAATCCATGTGACCCTCTGTGAGTGTTCCCATCAGTTGGCCAATGCACAGCTCTGGGGAGGAAAAATTTGACGGTTTCCACATTATCCTGAAAAATGTACAGGTGCTTTGAATTATGGGAATTTCTACATCATAAATTCATTGAGAGCAATGGGCAAACTTTCCTAGAGATTAGCCTTCACTATACAAAGCTATAAAGACCCTTCCTGGTGAGAAATGAGAGACTACAGGCTTCTGGAAGTTTTCCCCACAAAAGCAGTGAGAAAACGGGACAGAATGGTCAGAGCAAAATCTGTGGAACTCTGAAAATTCACCTGAAGCCTTCAGCAGTCTGGCGAGTGCTTATTCTGTAAAATCAGTGGAATTAGCACAGAATGGTGATGCAGGCCTGATGGCCCAGCACTCTGGACACTGAGACAGGAGACTCTTGAGTTTGAAACCGCCTGGACTTCAAAGACACTGTCTCAAGAAACCAGAATAAGGTACTTCATGTTATTTTGTGGCTCTTGTGAAGGGTGTTATTTCCCTAATTTCTTTCTCAGCCTCTTGTCTTTTGTATACAGGAGGGCTACTGATTTTTTTTTTAATCTAGCCACTTTGCTGAAGGTGTTTATCAGCTGAAGGAGTTCTCTGGTAGAATTTTTGGGGTCACTCATATATGTACCCCAGGCACCTCACATACTGCCAGGTTCTCAGAAGACTGAGGCAGGAGGATCCCTTGAACATAGTAGTTCAAAGCCAGCCTAAAGAACACAGTAATAGCCTATCAAGAAAAGAAAGGAAGGAAGGAAAGAAGGAAGGAAGGAAGGAAGGAAAAGAGAAAGAGAAAGAAAATAAATAGGTGTTGATGGGTAGACAGCAAATAATTATGTGATTTGGAGAATATAAAAATCATGGGGAATTTGAACTATAAACAAGCACAAATTTCCTATAATATTGAAATTAAGCTTCTATTAATCCAATCTGTTAATGGTAATCCCCCAGAGAAACACTAAGAAAATAATACAAAAGATGTAAATATTGAAAGAAGCAATGAGAAAAAAAAAAGTTCACTAAAAAAAATCTATTTAACTATAAGCTAGAAGGGAACAGCAACAATGACACAGATAAAACAGAAAAATAGCAAAATCCATACATCATCAGTAATCAAAACATGTATGGGTTAACAGCTCCTTTAAAGGTAGAAATTCGTAAAACGTAAAAGAAGAAACAGACTATTGCTATTAGCAAGTGGCATAATCTTCAATAAAATCTAAAGACCCAAACAAAAACCTATTCAAGCTAATAAACAAAACCAGCACAATTATAGGTGAAACCATTGACACAGAACATTTGTTTGCATTTTTGTCCCTAGAAATGACCAAAGCAAAAATGCACACCTATAACCATAGCAATCTAGAGGCAGAGACAGAAATAGCATGAGTTTAAGGCTGGTCTGCCTAGACTCCATAAAGAAACCCACCATCAAAAACAAAAAGAAATGAAGGGAAAGGAGGGAGAAATAAATGAGGAAGAAAAGGAAAGAAAGGAAGAAAGGAAGGGAGAGAAGGAGAGAGGGAGGGAAGAGAGGCAGGGAGGGAGGGAGGAAGGGAGGGAGGGAGGGAGGGAAGGAGGGAGGCAGGAAAGAAAAAGAAAATAAAACAAAGCTATGATGATTGAAATACGAAGTGTCCCTCCATGGGCTCCTGTATTTGAACACTTGGTCCCAGGTTAGTGGTGCTGTTTGAGATCTGTTATGGAATCTTTAAGAGATGCAGCCTTGCTAGAGGAAGCACATCACTGAAGGTGTGTTTTGAGTATCTTGAGTAACAGCAAGTGTAGCCTCACCACACTTCCTGTTTTCTCTCACTGCTTCCTGTGCATGGATGAAAATGTGATCAGCCAGCTTTCTGTTCCTGTTGCCATGCTTTCCTAGACATTTTAGACTCTATCTCTCTGGAAACATAAGCAAAAATAAATCCTTTCTTAAGTTGTTTTTGGTCATGGTGTTCTATCAGAGAAACAAACAAACAAACAAAACCTAAGATGAAATTCAAAGCACCATTACCTATATAAATCCAAAAGAATAAAATAATTGAGGAGAAACTGAACAAGAATAGGCTCAACTTCTAGACTGAGAACTCAGAAATATCTTCTAGAGAAACTAAAGACCTGAAAAGATGGAAAGACAACTGTTGTTTGTAAACTTGAAGGCAATATTGTCAAGATGACAATATTTCCCAATTTAAATAGCAAACTCAGAACAGAATCCATGGAAATCTGAGTTGCCTTTATGCAGAAATTGAGTATCTGATCCTGAAATTATATTAAGATATGCAAATGGGCCCAGAATCGGCAGAACAATCTTGAAAAAGAACAAGAATGGAGGAACTGTACGCTTTAAAAAGTTACCACAAGTCTCTAGCAATCAAAACAGTATGGAGACTAGTGTTTCCATTTGGAAAACGTTGTAAAGAATTAAATATAGAGTTACCACATGAACCAAAATTCTACTTCCAAGAATATAACGAAGGGGAAAGGCTCATCACACTCACATAGCTGTCCTGTTCACAGTATCTAAGAGTAGAAACAACCCAAACATATGTCACTTGATGAAGAGGCAAAATATGGCATGTGCCCAGCACGGTATCCAACCATAGCCATAAACACGTGGGTCCCTGGTCAGTCACTACAGAGGACTTTCAAAGGATTATTGCAAGTGACAGAGCTGGACATAAAAGTTAATATATGGTTCCATTTATACCTTTATTTCTCTCTCTTTCTCCCCCTCCCTCCCTCCTCTCCCTGCCTGCTCTGTGCTTATGTGTGTAATTGAATTTGTAGTCTTATGCATGCTGGGCACTGAGGCCCACTACCACTGAGCTCCCTTCTCTGGCCCCATTTATATGAAAAGATGAGGACAAGCAGACATCAGTGGGGGAGCAACGAGAGCAAAGGCTCTTGCTGTCACCCATATTGTCCTGGCTTCGGTGAGTCTTTTGGACACTAACTTTTCTTCTGACGAGTGACAAATCTTTCTAACCTCTGCTCAGGGGATGGGGTGGGGATTATGCCTCAAATGCTCAAGAAAACCACATGAGATGGAGGGAGCAGAAACAAGACTTGCTGGGCTCTGTCGGGGAGAATCACTTTATTTCTCTGTGACTGGTCTCACAGGGTCCCTTTTGGATCAAAGTGACCAAAATTAAGATGAAGGTCCTGGGGAGAGTCACTTAGAAGCACAGTGCTCCTAGGAGACATGGAAATCCATCCAGTGTGTCAGAGTCAATATTCTGATCAGGACTGACAACAGACAGTCTTTGTAGTGTGTCTCTTCACAGAAAACCTTCAGGACCAGGCCCTGAGCCTAGCATATGCAAAGACCATGGGTTCAAGGTCAAGAACAAGGAAAAGGTGGAAGACCACCCAAAGGATACACAACATCTAAATGTCCCCACCATGTGTGACACGGCCAGGAAATTCTAGAAGTTGCGTCATGCTTTTTTGGTATCCAGCCTCTGGAATGGTGAAATAATTAAATGTGTCCTCTTTCTAACCTCTGGCACTTTACTGTAGCAATGGAAAGCTGCATATCAGTACACACAGTGACCCATCAACCCCAAGTTACCTCACAGACTCGTGGACTCTGCTGCCCCTGTTCTCATCCTCCCTCCTCCCCTCCTAGCCTTTGGGAACTACAGAGGGTAGCCAGCCCCCAAAGGCCAGCAGAGCTCTGGTTCTACGGAAGCTCAATCAGTTGTGATTTTTGTTCTGAATTAACAATTAAACATTTCCAAAGTCAGTGAATAGCTTCAATATTCTTTCACTTATTTTATCATCATCATCATCATCATCATCATCATCATCATTGCTTTTGTTTTGCTAGATTTCAGATTTGAAGGGGGTTTGTTTGTTCGTGTTTTACTTTGGTCCTGGAACCTCGATGTGGGACCATGAATGCTTGGCCTCTGAGGACAAAATCCACCCATGACCTGTCCATGAAATCTTAAAAAAAAAAAAAAAAAAATTAAGGACTGTGTATTTAGGCAGCATGGAGCTTTATCTTCACAAAGAAATCTATTACTCAAAGTGATCCGGAAGCACTGCATTTGATGACTGTGATCTCTTAGACTCCAGGCAAGAGTGGGTCCCAGATTTCAAAGGATGTGAGTGTGCTACCCTCAGACCCTTGGACAGGAACTTGTGCATTTGCCTCCATTTCTGCACCACTCACCTTGCCAGGTCGTTAAGATCCAAACGGCCATCTTTATTTTTGTCAAAGATCTTCATCTGAAAGGCAGAACGCAAGGTAGATGTGACAAATGCTCACACCAGGAATTGATCCTAAAAGGTTTTTTTTTTTTTTTTTTTTTTTTTTTTTTTTTTGTTTTTTTTT